CTTTTCAGATTGTTCCTGGAGCCTGGAGTTCAAGGATTGCTTGGAGATGATCACATCAGTTTGAAGACTACAGGGACTGACTTCAGGTAAGTTATCACTATGACTTTGTGTAAAAACCTACATGTTTAATTCAATTTTAGGCATCAATATTCCCAAAAACATAAACAGTGAGCCAACCGACCCAACAGGCACAAAAACAGGATGAAAAACCCAAAATTGTCATGTAATGTTATTCACTTCTTGTAAGTTCCTGTAATAAAATGTGAACTAAATGCTTAGCTGTTTACTTTGGATGATACTTGACTCAAGTCTGAGCACAAAAAGAGGAAACTGTACCATTCTGATAATTGAGTTTGGATAAAGGTAAATTTTCATGTTACAATGTTGTTGGAAATATTTCCACAGGTAATGAATTCCAGAGCCTAGCCGTTCTATGGATGAAGGAGTCTTGATAAAGTGCTGTTCGACATCTTTCGAGGTTGACAACGAAAGGATGTGCTGACTGGGCTTGTCTAGTTCGTCTGACTGATATTGCTAGTGAAGGCATGATAGCAGAGATTTCCGAAGAACATTTCCCGTGGAAGTATCGATAAAAAAGTGAAAGGTCGCCGACCTTCCTACGGTGTTCCAATGATGTCAAAGAGTGAGTGAGTGTGGTGTCACCCACCAGGCGAATGGCTCTTCTCTGGATGAAATCTAAGAGCATCAGCGTATGTTTTGGTGCTGAACCCCTTATGTGGGAACAGTATTCTAGAACAGGCCGTATCTGCGCTTTGTAGATCATGAGAATCTGTTGAGGTGTAAAGTAGCTTTTCGCACGGAACAAGAATCCGAGTTTTTGTGAAGCAGCGTTTGCGATGGATCTGACATGATTATCCCATGAAAGAGTGTTGCTGATGGAAATACCAAGCATAGATATGGTGGGCTTGGTGGGGATGGTGGAGCCAGACATTACAATGTCGGGCATACTGAGTTCCGCCTTTCTAGAGAAAATGCAGGCTTGAGTTTTGGTGGCGTTGAATTCAACTAGGTTGTTGGTTTCCCAGGCTGTGATTTCAGCAAGATCTTCATTGACAGCATTGACCTGCCTGCGCCGTGAGTTCTTAGTTTCATAGGAAGAAATGGGAATTCTGGAAGAGAACGCAGTATGGAGGGTACTATCATCTGCAAAGCTGTGCATGGGGCAAGTTGTTACTCCCAACAGATCATTGATATGAAGCAGGAATAATGTTGGTGCCAAAATTGATCCTTGTGGAACGCCGGAATTGATGCCAATGGTATCAGACGATACACCGTCCACCACCACGTGAAGCGATCTGCCAGAAAGGAGTATTACTTTCTTTCTGCTCTGAATGTCGCTAACCCCATGATGTCATAGGAAAACATCGCGTTGTATGTACAGGGTGATTGGTTATATTTTACTCAATATTGGGCCTACAGAAACTGTCAAATGGGTAAAGTAATGAAGTATTTTTTATTGGCATTCAGAATTTAGTAATAGAAAATGCATAAAAGCATCGCAAACCTGAAAATTTAACATGAACTGGAATTTTTCAAACCCCCATTTTCCTAATCGATAGAGCTCGTTCATCTGATTTCAAATATATATATATATACTTCATTGAGGTTATCTTTGTCAGTTTTCGAAAAATATAGATTCCAAGGCAGCTGTAGAGCGCCAGAAATCGCAGCATTGTCGTCTGGCGTTCTACAGCTATTTTACCAAGGAATCTATATTTTTCAAAAACTGACAAAAGATAACCTCGATAAAGTATATATATTTGAAATCAGAAGAAAGAGGTCTACCGGTTAGGAAGATATCAGTTCATGTAGACAAAATTTAATTTTTCTGAACTGAAAATTTTCTAGGAAAACTATGAATAGTTAGTGAATTGGGTGTCCTGATTCCGAATCCGAAGTGATTTTCAACCTATTTCGACTCCTAATATCATTTTCCGGAAATTGGGGTGGTTTCATGGCTGTTGCCCAGCAGTGTATATCACTGAAGATGACCCCACTTGGTCATAGAGTTCAAGTTTGGAATATCTCTCGCTCCAGCAAATATCAAGATCCATACCCAACGATTACGTAAGATACAGGGGTGATTCCATTAGAAGTGGGTCACACTGTATATGTCGTGGGTTTAAATGACAATTTTCCCCATTTCTCTCAAGAATATCAAAAGTACGTGCATTAAACATTGCGTGAATAAAATGCTATAAAAAATATTTACAAAATGAATAACTAGTAATGCCACTGGGACTGCGAATTCCGCTGTTCCGAAATTGTTCAGTATTTACAATGAGATTACAGCTGCTGAAATTCGGAACAAATTCTCGAGCTGTCACTATTCAGTTATTTTTTTTATAATTAGATTTGGAATAAAATATTAGATAATTCGTATATGGACCAGCATCTAATTATTTTAGAAGTGTTTCTATGATGGCAAATCAATGAAAAATCGAGCAGCTTCTGGATTCAATTAGCCGATTCTTATGATTGAATCAAGACATTACGCTCAGAAGTGAGACTAAGCCTATGCACATGTTGCACAAATAGACCACCATATAGGTCGCGTGCACGAAGACCGACCCTGGAGGCAAAATATTGAAACACAACCTCATTCTTGTGTGAATTATTGAAACACAAGTCACAACCTCACTTTTTTATTTGGTTACAGAGGAATCAAATCAACCTAATATTCTTTGTCAAATCAATATTTTGGCATACGAATCGTGTTTCTTGCGTTATTCATTAATTCAAGCATGCCTTCGCATTGTGCTGTTGTACAATGCACAAAAAATGCAGCAAGAGACTAGGGAATATGATTTTTCAGATAAATAGTAATCTCACATAGTTAGCATTATGAAATGTTGTCATTCCTTATTAAAATTCCTTCTGCCTTCTGCCTTCTGCCACTTCTGCAATACAAGCTAATGCTGCTAATAGATTGAAAATGTCTACAACACACACGATCGTCAGCATGTCAGACCAGTCCTACCGATTGATTGCATGAATCCAATCTTCTTGCATTATTCCAGAAATTTCAGGTATATTTTTATTAGCTGATCCTATTGCAGAAGGAATTCCGATGAGAAATCAGAGAAATAACCAAATTTCAAAAATGAAGACTATGTGAGTGACTATAGTAGGTACTTACTTTTAAATCATAATGTACCATCCGGATTTCTTCATCTTCCGCTGCAGTTTTTGTGCATTTTACAACAGCACAATGTGATGGCATTAGCGAATTGATGAATAGCGGAAAAATACGATTCATATGCCAAAATACTTGTGGAAAACTATTTCGATCACTTGTAAACAAATATGTTTTGCCTCCAGGGTTGGTCATCTGACAGTTCTTGCACGCGACCTATTAATGATAAATGCTTTCAATCTTCCATAGGAGACAGTTGCTCTCCCAATAGTTCCAATTAACCATTTATGAATCGTTGTTGATATCAAAATACAACGTTATATTTGTTTACGCATGTCTGCCAGAAATCATAACTCACCACTATATTCTCCAACTCCTGCATCAGCCATTGGTTTTTGTTGTTGGCGATGGAGATGGTCGAGTTCTTCAACAATTTTATATTCAGTTTCCTCGGTTCTTTTGGAAAAGGAACATAAATCGGGGGGGGGGTTGATAGTCAATTAGCATCAATTCTTTTACAGATAAACCATAGATGTAGTCAGTTTGATTATCAATCTACCTCATTCCTCCCACAAAAAGAGCTATACATTTTCACATAATTCTTGTGATTGAATCAAGACACTAAGCCCGTTGGTGAGACTAAGACTTAACAAATATACCAGCATAATAATGATAAATGCTTTCAATCTATCATAAGAGACAGTTGCTCTTTATAGTTCCAATTAACCATTTATGAATTGTTGTTGATATCAAAATACAACTTTATATTCGTTTACGCATATCTGCCAGAAATCATAAATCACCACTATAGTCTCCAACTCCTCCATCAGCCATTGGTTTTTCTTATTGGCGATGGAGATAGTCAAGTTCTTAACCAGTTTCATATTCAGTGTCCTCATTTCTTTTGCAAAAGGAACATAAATCGGGGCGGTTTGATTGTCAATTTGCATCATTTCTTTTACAGAAAGAACATCGATGTGGTCAGTTTGATTGTCAATTTCCCTCATTCCTCTCACAGAAGGAGCTATACATTTTCACATGATTGAATCAAGACACTATACGCTCAGAAGTGAGACAAATGTTGCACAAATAGACCAGCATACTAATGATAAATGCTTTCAATCTTCCATAGGAGACAGTTGCTCTCCCAATTTACCATTTATGAATAGTTGTTGATATCGAAATACAACTTTATATTCATTTTTTTATTTTTTTTATATTTCACATAATCAGATCCGTACAGAATCCCATTATCCATTGATGAGTATCATACTGTTTTTGAAAGTAATACATTGACTCACTAAGTAATTGAATGATTGTCCTAGAACCTAGTACATGACAATAAAGAAATAGATAAGCATATAAAAAATAATATGCCACGAAATAATACACAAAACACATCTCTATTACAACACAAATTGTCAAATCAGGTCATTATTCAGAATGAAATCAAACAACTGCTTTCTGAAAGATTTCATACTATCATTATTTCTTAGTTCAGTTGGTAGGTTTTTATAATGATTAACAGCTTTGCAAGTTATTGAGCTTTGAGTTCTGGTAGATTTGAATCTATTTGGCCGTAAATTATTTACTGCTCTTGTTGAGTAATTGTGATACTGGTTATTATGAATAAGTTTGATTTTTGTTTTCATGTAGTTAGTTTTTATTTTATGAATAGTTTTCGATGATTCAAATTTATTAGCTTTAGCCAAATTTAGCAACTCGGTTTCCTTATAAACTGTATCAGTTGCTACCAATGGATTCATGCTATATAATACTTTTATTGCCTTATTCTGTGCTATCTGCAAAGATTTACGCATATATGCCAGAAATCATGACTCACCACTATATTCTCCAACTCCTGCATCAGCCACTGGTTGTTCTCGTTGGCAATGGAGATGGTCGAGTTCTTCAGCTCCATGTGCTCCAAGCCGTCTCTCACGTGACAGAGGATGTCGTCGTAGGCGGTCAGCTGGTCCTCCAGGCGCTCGGCCTCCTCAATGGCAGTGTCCAGCAGGTCCATGAACGTCTCCACCTTCAAGTCAGTGTTATCAATGGGGAAGTTTCCTTCAGATGAATTTTCATAAAATGAGTTCGGAACTCCTCATTTTTATGTCCACGCTGTACAGAATGGCAATCGATAAAGTTCAAGTCGTATTTATTTTAAAGGCTTTTTTCTACTCACATAACTAAAATGGCATTTAGCGTACGGATATGTACCACGCTAAATGATCGATTAATCACGGATTCACGATCTGTGATTTATTCAAGATATTAAACACGTTACCATGGCAACACATATTCTTAAACACATTACCATGGCAACGCAGTTCATTAAACACAGCTTCAGTAATTTGAGACATGTCTGGCCTGTCAATTGTATCAACTGTCAACTGTTATTTTCGAATTTTGTATCAGAATTATTCAAACAATATTCGTTTGTATCAGAATTCTTCATTCAAAATATATGCGAAAAGTAGACGAAAGTGAAGCCGAAGAGAATGTTCTGGTACTTGCATATCTCCAAGAAGTGTAAAAATGAAGCATCCATCCTTGAAAACAATTTATTTATTCTGCGCTAAGCATGACAATAAACGTGAAACAACGTGAAACAAAGGTTAGTAAGCAATGGACTTGACACATCTACAACCAATATCACTCATACGTGTCTCGCTGGTTGCATGCAGTTGCATGTATTATGTTCTCAATTCCCATTCCTTTCGAATTATTTTGTAGGTTAGCAGGAATTGCAAGTATGTTAATGTAATTTTCGGAGTTCGTAGAAAAATCATAGTATGTAACGCGTTTATAAACTCTTCTAGACACTCGTTTATTAAACACTCGCTCCGCTCTGCTCCGCTCGTGCTTAAACTACTCGTTACTAAAAGGACGTTTATAACACTTGTTACATAATATACTATTATTTAACTTGCAATGTATGGATCTATGTTAGTCCGGGTGGAATCTTTGAACTGAATTTTGAAGTAGATATCTTCAACCGATTGAGCTTAAATTTTGTATAGACGTTTAGTTTGGATGACAATGCACGATAAGGTGTGTGAAGTTATTCTGAATCCAATATGGCGGACCATCCAAGATAGCGGAATAGTTATTTTTAATGCACTTTTACAATATGGGTATCAAATGGAAGGGCTCGTTGGGAGTAACTCGAAAAATAATGTGACGTCATTCTGAATCCAATATGGTGGAGCATCCAAGATGGCGAAATAGTATTTTTCATTGCACTTCCACAATATGGGTATCAAATGAAAGGACTTATTGGGAGTAACTCGAAAAATAGTGTGACGTCATTTGGCGGACCATCCAGGGCGGCGTAATAGTTATTTTCATTGCACTTCTACAATATGGGTATCAAATGGAAGGGCTTGTTGAGAGTAACTCGAAAAATGATGTGACGTCATTCTAAATCCAATATGGCGGACTATCCAAGATGACGGAATAGTTATATTTAATCTACTTTTACAATATGGGTATCAAATGAAACGGCTCGTTGAGAGTAACTCGGAAAATAATGTGACGTTATTTTGAATCCAAGATGGCGGAATAGTTTTTATTCATGCACTTCTGCAATATGGGTATCAAATGAAAGGGCTTGCCGAAAATAATTAGAAATAATATAACATCACTCTAAATCCAATATGGCACACTAAGGCTACGTTCAGCGTCAGGTCTGGACCACCGTAGTCGGACCACAACAAGCATAGGAGTTCTGAACGACATCGGTCCATGCAAGGTCTATGCATTTGTTTTAGTATCTGTCAAAGTTGTCATTAGAACTCCCATTTGATTTCATTTTCATTTCGAAATTCAAATGGTTAGACTGATTTTTCAACGATGGTGCTTGTTGAAATCTCAAATATATTGAAAAAAGATATTGGCCGATGGTGGATGGTGAACAGGTATACCATGCTGGAAATGTTATTTGTGTCAAGTGAAAAGTGTACAGAAACTTGAGATCATTGGGCAGGTTCTACAAACTTCTGCTGCTCTGAAAATGAAGCCTTCCAGCGAACGAATGGACATGCTTGTGTTTGTTTTTGTAAAACAGATTATTTGGAAAGAAATTTGGTTTACTCAATTATCCAAATTGTAGGATTTTTATAAATTGAGTGGCGTCCAAGAACTTGAATTTTCTTCACCATCTAGCCTATAATTCGAACTCACTTATCTGTTCTCCGATGTACAGCTGCCGATGTTTGACTTTTTAATAAATTCATCCTTTTATATTAAAAGTTGGCCACAAGTTGGCAATGTATCGACTAGAGCATACAACTATAGCTTTCACCAATGAAGACAAGGATTGGAGAACCTGTTGTATTTACCTGTATCGATACATTTTGTATCTTCATAACTTCATACTGTTTACACTGCGGCATAAAGCAATATCTGTTGAACTTGTTGGCCATCATGTTATCTCACCCGCGAAGATATTCTTTCAAATTCGAATGCATTTGCATGTCATTAATTCATGTCAAATATAACTGACGTTTACTGATGGAAACAATGGACTGAACGATTTAGACCATGCTTGGCCTCATTTTTAATGAGACTACGTGGACCACGGTCTGATCCATAGTCTGACTACGGTCTGAACGAATTGAGACGAATTGACCATGGTCCGACCAGTCACTGAACGTAGCTAAGTCTGTGCAGTTTCCATCAAAATATAATCACGGAACCGCGGAACGAAGAATGCTGCCAATTGTATTATGTTGGGATTGTACATTGTTGTAAAATGAACATAATTACATTTCAGCGCCTCGTCCTTGAGATCACTATGTAGTACCGATTTTCGTGCTACTCCGCCACAAAGTTTAAAGACGAAAAAATCACTGGCTAAGGCCTGTGCATGCAATGGTCTGTATGTCCTCTATCGGTGTCGCCAACTTCACTTCATTACGTTTTTTGTGCAAGACGACGCCACATTGATTTTTATTTCCAGGTTTTTAATTTTTTAGGAAAATGGGAAAATCAAAGAGACAAAATAGATCCAGGTCCAGATCTAGGTCTAGGCACAGGCACAGTCATAGATATAGATCGAAATGTGAGAGTTTGGAAAGAAGACTAGAAGTTTTAGAGCGGTCATACAGACACAAGAGTTCAGCGTCAGTAGCATGCAGCTCTGATCGTGAACGAGGTATTTCGATAAGATCTGATCGTGGAACGTCTGGTTCAGATAGATCTGCAGGAACCCGCAGTTCCTCTTATATTCGAGACCGTGCAGGCTCGACAATTGAAAGCTGCAAAACAGAGCTATCGGATAGGGGCAAACATTGTCAGTCCCCTTCTCAGTCGCGCAGTCTGAGACAGAGGGTCAGCCGAAGCCATAGTAGAAGTCCCCCCCGCTCACTCAGGTCAGAAAGTATACAAACTCCACCAAGTCAGAGAGAAAGATCCAGAAGTCCCATTGTCCAAGAGCAAGTCCAAGATCATGAAAATGAAAACATTCCAGAAAATGATCAGGATGAACTGACAATACATTGTTCAGAAGAACTTGATCTGGAGACCTTGGAGTACCTTGGAGAAGATCCAACGGGAAAAAAGGCAAATACATGTGAGTTACATATGGCCCTGGCCCCTAGATTATCTCACATATTCAGCAGAGGTTTAGATAAAAAAGTGGCCAGTGAGTTGTTGGAAAAATACCCAACCCCATCCAACTGTGCAGGTGGAGAGGCCCCTGAGCTCAATCCTGAAGCAGCAGTTGTAACTCCTGAAATTGGTTTGAAAAAGGATAAGATGCAGGTTTTAACTCAGAAAAACTTGGGTGCTGGGATCACAGCTGTGGCCATGGCACTAACCATAGTTTTAAAAGAAAACTCTTTCAGTAAAAGAGCTGAAATAATCCCTTTGTTGAGTGATGGTGTAAGGATCTTGGCCAATGTACACTATGGGTTGTCATTAGCAAGACGTTCTCATATCTGTTCCTATTTAAGTAAATCTGCTAAGGAAGTAGCTTACAATAGCCCAGTAGATGGTTCCCTTTTGGGAAAGGATTTTGGAGAACGTTGTAGGACTGCAAAGGCTCTAGAAAAGAGCAGCAAAGACCTCAAATCTACAGTGGTTGCACCTACGGTAGGTAATGCAGGGTTTAGAAAACCTAAAACTACTTCAGTCTTACCTAAGAAGAATGCTAATTATTCTTTAAACAGGCAGGGGCCATCTCGCTTTGTGAGGGAAGTGAGACAGAGAGGCCATCAACCTCAGGAGCCAAGGAGAGAGAAATTCCGCCGTTATTAGAGGTAAGTTGTTTAGCTGGTCGATTGAGGAATTTTCTTGTGAATTGGCAAGAGATTACAGTCAGTAGACTGATCTTGGAATGGGTGAAAGGTTACAAAATACCATTCTGTATGGCACCTATCCAGGGTCATAGGCCTCCTATGACACAAAAGTTGTCCAAAGAAGAAACTATGGACTTGACCTCCTGTATTAAGGAGCTTATTAGTCAAGGTGCAGTGTCCACATGTACTTTCCAAGAGGGACAATTCTTGTCATCATACTTTTTAGTAACAAAATCAAATGGTAAAAAACGTTTCATATTAAACTTGAAAATGTTGAACACTTTTATTAGCAAAAGTCACTTCAAGATGGAGGACACAAGAACAGCAATGAAACTAATTAATAAGAGTAGCTTCATGGCCTCCATTGATCTTAAGGATGCCTACTATTTGGTGCCCATTCACAAAAACTATAGGAAATATTTGAGATTTCAATTTGATGGAAAATTGTATGAGTTTACATGTCTCCCTTTTGGGCTCTCTACAGCACCTTATGTCTTCACAAAGATGATGAAGCCAGTAGTGGCAAAACTGAGGGAACAAGGTATCTGTTGTGTAGTGTATCTAGATGATTTCCTCATTCTGGGAGATGATTTCAAGGAATGTTCCAGAAATGTGAATTATGCCTGTAGGCTTTTGACTTCCTTGGGGTTCATTCTCAACTATGAGAAAAGTAAGCTGGTACCCTCAACTCAATGTACATTTTTGGGTTTTATATTCAATAGCATTGATATGACAATATCGTTACCTGAAGAAAAGCGTAGAAGTATTTCACAGATGATTGTAAATATAAAAAGTGCAACAGAGTGTAAAATAAGGAATTTTGCACGTTTCATTGGGGTTTTGATTGCTGGGTGCCCAGCAGTTAAGTATGGATGGTTATATACTAAATCCTTTGAACGAGCAAAGTTTCTGGCCCTTGCAAGTAACAACAATAATTTCAATGCAACAATGCAAATTCCACCGGATATTAGAGAGGATCTAGTATGGTGGGAAAGAAACATCCCACATGTAGTGAATAGTATAAGACAGGAATCTTTCCACTTGGAAATTTTCTCAGATGCAAGCCTAACGGGGTGGGGGGCTTATTGTAATGGCGAACGCACCCATGGTTGGTGGTCTCTAGAAGACAAGGAAAATCATATAAATTATTTAGAACTTCTGAGCGTTTTTTATGGGTTAAAATCCTTTGCTCGAAATCTTCTTTCTTGCAGTATTCTTTTAAGAATTGACAACACTACTGCCGTAGCTTATGTCAACCGCATGGGAAGCTGTCGGTTCATCAAACTGAATTACCTAGCTAGAGAGATATGGCAGTGGTGTGAAAGTAGAGATATTTGGTTACATGCCACATATATAAAATCTGAAGATAATAAGGAAGCAGATGAGGAATCTCGCAAACTTCCGTCAGACACAGAATACGAGTTGAACCAGGAGGCCTTTGATTATATAACGAATTTTTTTGGAAGGCCTGATATAGACCTATTTGCATCTAAAATAAATTTCAAATGCATCAAATATACTTCATGGCTTCCAGACCCCGACTCATATGCTGTAGATGCTTTTAGCATAAACTGGGCGGAATTCTTCTTTTATGCATTCCCCCCATTTTGCCTGATTCTACGTGTATTGAACAAGATTATGTCCGATAGGGCGGTGGGGATTGTAGTCGTACCACACTGGACGACGCAGCCCTGGTACCCTCTGTTTAATAAATTACTGATCAGTCAACCTATTGTTTTGAACGCAAATCCAAAATTACTTTTATCTCCTTTCAGGACAACTCACCCACTGAAGATTACCCTGGTGGTAGGGATATTATCAGGACAGCTTTCATGAAGAAAGGTTCCCCAGAAACAGCCCTTCCTATTTTAATGGAATCATTATCAAAATCAACACTTTGCCAATATGAATGTGTTTACAAATCATGGTGGCAATTTTGTAAAAATAACAAAATTCACTATTTAGAGGCCGACATTTCCTATGTTATCAAATTTTTGGAGGAACAATTCAAAAGCAGGAAATTTGGCTATGGATCCTTCAATACTTGTAGATCTGCTCTATCGCTGATTCTACCTGGTGAAATAGGCAAAGATGCAAGAATAAAAAGATTTTTGAGAGGTATCTTGAGACTTAGACCACCTAAACGCCGATATAACAGCACTTGGGACCCTCATGTAGTTTTGGTACTTTTGGGTAGTAGATACCCCAATGACAGTTTACCTTTGGATATATTGACCAGGAAGACAGTGACTCTGTTGGCTCTCACAACAGGTCAACGTTTGCAGTCCCTAGCCCGCATTAGAATTGAAAATATTATTTTCTTAGCTGATGAAATTCAGATACTAATTACAGACCACATCAAAACGACAGCTGCAAATAGAGAGCAACCATGTCTTCATCTACCATATTTTATAGATAAACCAGAGTTATGTGCAGCATCGGCCCTATCCACATACATAGAAAAAACAATCCCCATAAGAAACGAGTCCCAAGATTTCTTATTTCTATCAACACGTAAGCCACACTTGACAGCTAGTTCAAGCACCATTAGCAGATGGATCAAACTTACCCTTGAAGAGGCAGGAATAGATTCAAAAATTTTTACTGGCTATTCTACTCGACATGCATCCACATCGGCGGCATATAAAAACGGTATTTCTATAGATACCATTAGGAGAACTGCAGGCTGGTCTGCTGGTTCTGAAGTCTTTGCCAGGTTTTACAACTGCCCGTTGAAGGATACATCATCTTTTGCCAAGGCTATCATTAAATGAATAATGTATCAAACTAGTTACAAAATTATATTGTATCAACCTATCTTTTGTATGCAAGAATAAAAAATGTTTTTTCAGTTCCTTATATTATGAAGTGAATGTTTCTTCATAATTTGTGAGGGGAAAAAACCTCTAACTCTGAACAGCTACATAGTGATCTCAAGGACGAGGCGCTGAAATGTAATTACTCGATTAAACGAACTTACCTAGTGAAGTTCTATCGTAATTACATAAGGCGCCTCGTCCGCAGAGATCACTCCCCTCCACACCCTCGGATTCCGTATTGCGAAAAAGAGTAAATAAAGAACTAGGAACTATTATTGTTCCCGGTTTTTTCCAACTTTGAAATGAATGAAGTGAAGTTGGCGACACCGATAGAGGACATACAGACCATTGCATGCACAGGCCTTAGCCAGTGATTTTTTCGTCTTTAAACTTTGTGGCGGAGTAGCACGAAAATCGGTACTACATAGTGATCTCTGCGGACGAGGCGCCTTATGTAATTACGATAGAACTTCACTAGGTAAGTTCGTTTAATCGAGTAATCATCCTGTATTATAAAAGAGGCGGCGCAGAGAACAGACGTCAGTTGATGTCAATAGTTAATTTTCATGAATTGTCATTTTATGTACATGAACTTTATTTTTGAATAAAATTTTCTAAAAAGCCTTTTCATCTTGACGAAGAACTTAAGACAACAGGAAATAACGATATCTGAAAATATTTCCAACACGGTGTGCAAGAGAGTTTTGCTCACGGTATTCCAGACAGAGGTATTCGCAATCCATGCGGTAGCAACGAGGCAATAGAGGGACCAATACATAGAAGGTATATATGTTCCGATAGTCAGGCAGCACTTAGAACTAGATCAGCTCTAGTTCGGGAGTGCGGAGATGCCCTTGAAGAACTTGCACGAAGCAAGGAGGTAACACCGATGTGGACATAGGATTCAAGGCAACGAGAGGGCGGACGAACTCGCCAGGCTCGGTGCCGAGACACCATTCCATGGCCCGCGGAACCTGCATTAGGCATCACCAGAAGCCATCAACCGCACCCAAAGAGTGGGTGTGGAGGAAATTCAAAGAGAACTGGAGGGACTATGTGGGGTGAAGACAGCAAAAGACTTGATAACAACCCCTCATAAAGAGAGAACGAAGAGGCTGCTAAGCAAATGTCGACAAGAAGTCAAACTCCTAATTGAAATCCTGACCGGTCACTATCAAAGATGCGAGGAAGAAAAAGAAACTTTTCACTTCCTTGAGAATGTGAAGCTTTCAGCAGACTAAGACTCAACATCTTTGGAACTTAAATGATTTAGAGGAGAGATGAACTCTCTCGAGTGGGCGGACATCCTAGCTTTCTTCGAAAGGCCTGGAAGGTTTGCCGAAGTAGCCGACTAACATAGGTAAGGTGTACGTTGCCGGAGTCGGCAAAAAGGTCCCAAGGGTGCCTACTTGCCTGGTGTGAGCCTCCCCACCACTACTACTACTACTACTACCCACCTAACCAAAGTTTAGGACAGTTTTGTTGAAGTTACAATTGGATGAAATCAAAAAATATCAAGAACTAAAAGTTGCAATAGAACGTTAAAATTTGAGTGAAATGTGTAAAATTGGAGAAGAAATATTATTTTTCAGAAAACTTTTCGAAATCCCAACGAATAAGCCTATTTCAGTGATTAATTTGGACAGAATTAACTTTTGACATGTAGTGAGTCACGTGACTCCGGCCGAGTAGGCCATTTTTCATATTTTTTGAAGCAGAACTTAACGCCCAATTCGAATTTCAAATAATAAATTATTAATAAAAGTTTTTCCCATATTATGCCAACTTTATGAATGACACTGTAGTTTGTCTGGGTTAACAGCAATAAATCATGATTTATGAATGTTTATAGCCAGAAAATTCCCGTTACCTCCAGATGTACTTTCAGTAGTTATAAGTGGCGACTTGCCACTATTTGGTAAGACTGTAACTTCAGTTGTAATTTTGAGATCTTCAATTTTTGAAAAATAGTAAGGTTGAAAGCATCAATGTAAATGATGAATTGTCTGTTAACCTTTACCTTCATTAAAATGATTTGTCTTTATGCATATATCGTGCATACATTATTATAATTTCATATCATAAGGATTTATTTAATGAAATACCTGTAAATTAGTCATTTTGCTGAATGAAAAGGAAATATTAATACCTGATCCTCTGATGCCAGAACGCTCTGTACATTCTCGCCGTCCAGCAGTGACAAATCTCTGGCGAGCACTTCCATGAAGCCTTCTGCATTGCTGATGGCAAATTCACATCCAGACATCAACCTACATGAAGTCAAAGATAGTTCCTATGCATATGAAATGTTCTCCATGAATTTTTCGGTAAATACAAGCCCAATTCGGGAGCGGCTCAATCCATGTAATAGATAACTTGATTAGGTTCAAGATTAACTGGAAGATTATGTCAAAATGTATTATAAGCATGGTTTGTATACAGTGCATCAGTTCAACTGATAGTTTATATAAAGTAGTGGATAAATTCATTTCTATCCCTTCTATCAATTCGCCTGAGAAATCTCCTAAAACAAGTTGATTCTCATTTTCAATTCACCACATTTATGAGAAAACAATTGAATAAATATAGAATAGAATAGAATATTTTCATTTTTGTGAATCACAATTTAAGTGATAACACTTTAGTATATATGTATACACATAAGATATCATTACATCAAATACAATTATTAAAGATAATGACGTCATTGTTAAAATACAAAATGAACAAAAAGAACAAGACTGTAACATTGAATTTGAAATTGTATATTGTTATTCTTTTGTATATTTATTTAATATTATTACTATTATTTACCATCATTTACATTGCAGGAGCTCTTGTATGATAGATTCTCTAAATAGACTATCTAAAATATTCTTCTACCGAATGTGGTTCCAGATTCATTTCAAAATTAGTTGACATTTTTTCAAATGTTTTCAAATTATTTTCCTGTTTGATATTTGTTGGTAGATTATTGAAAAACTTAATACATATACTCTGGAGACTTTTCTGTGGAAGATAGTCTGTGTTGTGGAATATTTTAATCAATGTTGTGGTTTATTCTTGTCTCAAATTTATCGGGATTTTCAAATAAAGTCATTAATAACTCATATATGTATGTCTCTGACAAGGTCATCCAATTTGAGTCTCCGTAGTTGAGATGCAGGAAAATTCTCATTACTTTCTTCTGTGAAGTGAAAATATGTTCTGCTAGGCTACTTCCTCCCCAGAAAATGATCCCAAAGCGCATTACCGAGTGGAAGTTGGCAAAGTAAATTATTCGTTTTGCTTCATTCTCCAAGTAGGTAGATGTTATTCTAAATGAATGGCAGATTGATGATAATTCATTAATTGTTTCCTTAATGTGTTTTTCAAAATCCTTGTTTTTCATTTTAGTTCTGAAACAAATGTGATTTGTTTTGTTTTTATTGGTGTATTCATGGTGAACCATTCCTGTGCTTTCTCCAGGGTTCCATTTGCTATTTCTGATAGATTGTGTAATGACCATCCCACAGCTAAAATGGTAGTGTTAATTTCTAATTCCTAGACGTTCTATAACAACTTTTTGTTTATGATTTGAAAGGTAATCCTTCATCCAATCATAAGCATTTCCCCTGACAACATACCTCACTAACTTTTCCAGCAAAATTTCATGATCTTAGATGTCAAATGCCTTTGATAGGTTAAGGAATATAACCATTGATATGTTTTTACTCCCATCCCCAGCATTTACCTTACCTATAAATGCATATATGGCAGTTTCAATCGATTTCCCTTTCAAGTAGCCATGTTGTGAATGGCTCAGAAGATTTTCAGTATAAAAATAGGATAGCAGTCTAGAGCACATGGCTGATTCAAAGATCTTTGAAAGAGATGGTAATAGACTTATTGTATGATTATTATCTAAAAGTGTTGGGTCATCTTTTTTAAATGAAGGCTTGACTGAAGCCATCTTCAATTTCTTAGGAAATATTCCTGTTGAGAAGGAGTTAAGATAGAATAGATATGTAGATTGTCTCTGCAATTTTGATATTGTGAATATTAGGATGTATACCTATATTGAGATAAATTCATTCATTCATTCATTCATTATAGGGCACATTGGTATTGCTAATTCATGTGCAACATGTTTTATAATGCTATTTGATATTTTATCAATGCCAGCACTGTTTTTGTTCTTCAATTTTAGACACAATTTTATTACATCATGAATAGTTATCAGCATTAAAAACATTGAATTTCTGTACAATGAGATACTAATATGAAGTTCAATATGCAGTAGTTCTTTATATAAATTGGGGGCTGTGTTGAGTTTTTGAAGTTATTGCTAACTGTATGTGGGTGCCCTTGTATTTTCAATTCATTGTTAGTTGAGTTTGATCCCTTCATTTCCTTGACAATCCCCCAGGGACATTTTGATTTGTTTTCACTATTTTCAATTTGATGTTTGTACTGTAACTTCTGTGATTCAAATAGTATCTTATTGTATTTTCATTTTGCCAGTTTATATTCTGCCATAAAACATTTGTCTGTCCTGCTGATTACTAATAACAGATATCTAGACAGTCTCTACATTCATTTAATTCTGCATTTTCATAATACCTTTGTGGTTTTTTATCATCACTTATAGTTTTTTCAGGAAATCAATGATTGAATATTGGCACTAGGATGCTCATAAAACAGTCCCACTGTTTATTAACAACAAAAAGTTTTTCCCAATTCTCATCAACTAAGAATTTTTTAAAAATTTCTTCATTATGCAAATTGAGAGATCTATGTTTCATCTCCTGTTTCATTTTACCTATTGGAGACTCATATTTGCTGAAATCAAACATAAGTTTTTGACCAGTATGATCAGATATATGAATGCTCAATATTTCTACTTCATATGGTTCACAGTTTGTTAGGATATTATCCACACAAGATTTTTAATCTCTATATATTTCTGTATACTCCAATATTGATGATGTCATGTTGAATATATCCTCATTTAAGTTATGATGTCCAGTGACAATTTTCTCAATTTCTCATTTTTTGAAATCTCCATGGACCGCTGAATTCAAATAAACATTACATACATGGATTTTATGAGTCAATTGAATTGAATAAACAAATACAAAATAAATTCTTAAGATTCTGCACTTTTAAGCTCAATGTTGTTATTGACAACCATGATTATGATTTCATATGTGGTGAAATGAATTTGCAGATTTTAAAAAATCACAGAAAAACCACTGATATTTGTTTCATTTATAAATTAATTATTGGAATGGTTGTTTGTCCAAAGTTGTTGGAGTTAATTAATTTCTATATACCAAACAGAACATTGAGGAATGCTAACCTATGTAGAATATCTCATCATGCTACCAATTATGGTCAACACTCACCTATTGGGAGAACATTGAGATTAATTGATGAAAATGGTTTGGACATATTTCATGGGTCTTTAAATAGTTTCAAAAAACACTTGTTGAATCTGTACTTTGAAACATAGAGCTTTCTCATAAGTTAGATTTATTATATAGATTTAAGACTAGTATACATAATATTTACCTTTTGTTTTTTTTTCTGTAATGGGGTTTCCCCTAGATAAATAAATAAATTTTATAAAAATCAATACATACATAGGTACATACAGAATAATTCTCCAGAGAATTCTCTTTGGTAACCCCATTTCCCAATAGCACTGAATTTAACTGTATATAAACCCTATGTGTAATATAGTTTTGAATTCAGCCTTCCATAAGAATACCAAAAAATTCAATAATATCATAGTGTTCCATTAGAAAAATTGTGGTGAACATTATAACTCACCCAGTAACTCAGTAAATGTGGTGAACTGAAAATAAAAAGCTAATTATTCAAGGTAATTTCCCAAAAATGGGTAGTATTTAGATGGAAATTAATTTTATACACTACTTTAAGAGTGCATTGAATACAAACCCTAAGTGTAATACATTTTGGAAATCTGCTATTCATGGAGATTCCGAAAATTCAATAATATATAAGGTGTTCCATTGGAAAAAATCAGAAAAAATTGTCATGAACATCATAAATGTGGTTTATCCTGTATTATTAAATTTTACCATATAAATGTGTCAAATTTAAAATACATATTGATCTGTTTCAGAAGATTCCTGAGAAATAGATAGTTTGGCTGAAAAAGAAGTTATTCAGTACTATACCAAAGCACTGTATACTGAGATATACTGTCTGTACATATGCTGGTTGAGAATGAAAACCAGGAATAATTCTGAGGTGGAAAAATCTAAAATTAATCCAAAGAATGAATTAAAATGGAACTCTTATGGTTACCTCTAATAGTAGCATAAACCAAATGATACACATACTTTTTCAAATCCTCTTGCTCCCTGTCTGTGATGGCTTGAAAATCATCAACCAAATCATTATCCAAAGCCATCAGAGGAGAAGTGATGAATTTGTGGTCAGGAGTCATAGCATCTTCAGTGACCCAGGCTTTAGGAACATTCTTGAAAAAAGGCTTGTCCTTCATGTGCCTAGTTGCCTGCTTCCAGATATTGTGGATGAAGGCATGACGTTCCTTGGAATTCATTGCCACCCAACGGTACACCTTATCGAGGTGCAAATCGAACTCCAAAGTGTCATAGGACTCATTGTGTCCGTCCACGGACTTGAGGTCGGCCAGAGCCCAAGTTCGTTTCTTCTTGAAGACATTCTTGTCGGTTTGCTTCACTTGGATCAGGGTGATGAAGTAGGGGACACTTGTAGTGCTAGCCAGGCAGAGGATAGACGTTTTCTTTTTCTTAAGATACTTGCTGACCAGGCAACAGGTTATCAATCTTTCCTCGTTTGGTTCGAAAATCGAATTCTGCAGCTCACGGACTATTGTCGAAGTCATTTTTCAATGGCACTGTATGATTCTGAATGAAATCTGGCACCCTATCCACCCACCCCCATTCGAAACACATGCAAAACACCCAAAATTAATAAAACTATCAAAAAAGATTATCAACAAACGATTCAAAACAACCAACATAACCCAACTTCTTGACGGTTGCGTGCAAGAACTGTCAGATGACCGACACTGGAGGCAAAACATTGAAACACAACGTCACTTTTCTTATTTGTTTACAAGTGATCGAAATAGTTTTCCACAATTATTTTGGCATATGAATCGTATTTTTTCGCTATTCATCAATTTGCTCATGCCATCACATTGTGCTGTTGTAAAATGCACAAAAACTGCAGCGGAAGATGAAGGCATCCGGATGGTACATTATGATTTACAAGTAAGTACCTACTAGGGTCCCTTGATGGAAATTGACGTTAAAGTCATCTTAACAGGGTACGGACAGATCCTCGTCTCCTCTCACTCTGAAGTGTTTGTGAAACAGTTATATAGTTCCATCCTTATCCAATTCTAGGGAAAAACACTCGTTGTTTTTTAGGTTATATTGAGGTCACTGGCGTATCATACGTAATTTCCATATGGAATTCCCGATTCAACTATACCAAGATATAGATGAACAGTCCTCTAGATTTAGAGTATACTACTCCAGCGTAATCTTTGCGAGGTAGGGAACATATAAATTGTACTGAAAGCTTAATATATTTCACTAAGAGAGAGACTGTTCTTAGACTGTATACTAGGGTTGACTGAATTGACTGAATGAATTCTGATTTCAAGCTGAGCAGAAGTTTATCTATCAGCTTAATGAGCTGAGCCTTATGATTGAGAAATGATGGAAACCGAAACTACTGTACTTATTCATGTGTGCTCAATATATTTTTGGAAATCCAGCTCGGTGAGGAATTTATGGAGTGACTAATATCACGTATATTATGTATAAAACTTTGTCTAGGACGAAAAGTAGGCTGATAAAAAGTAATACGTGAAATATGCAGGAAAATAAAGAATAGAATATACTTTACCCCCATGTTATACATATGATTTTTCCGTCCCCATCAAATTAAAAGTCATTTTCGAACAATTGATTGATAAAAGTAACAAAGATGTAGGTATACGCAGTATAACTTATAGTCACGTTATTTTCACTCTTGCATCCTACATATTTTCTATTTGTGGTAGAGTAATAATCATATAAACTAATGTCTTTCGCCATATCGAATCCGCCATCTTGAATTTTCCTACCCTACCCCGGAAACCCCCAGATACCAATTTTGAATAGAATCGAATCTCCATTACAAAACTCGTCCATCATAATGGATCTGCCATCATGAAAATCCCAATTTTGACGAATTAATTATAATCTCCGACCCCATTGACAAAAAATCATAAAGTTCGACCCCGAAAACCCCCAGATACCAATCTTAAATAGAATCAGATCATAATTAGAAATTTCTTTCGCTATACGGGCTGATTCACGGTGGCAGCGCTGAGAATATTTCAGGTCGATAGAACACAACTAATTATTCAAGGCACCAACTTTCCAGAATAATCCTGAGTTGCGTTTTCCAGAACCGTCTAATGCGCCATCCACCGTGAATCAGCCTGTATATTGGATTGGTCATCTTGAATTTTCCAAGTTTGACGAAACAATCATTATCTCCAACCTCGGAAAACCCCAGATATCTTCCAATTTTGAATAGAATCGGATCATAATTGCAAAACTCGTTCGCCATATGATCTTCAACAAGTAAACACCCTGTACATACCTATTATTGAAATTTGTAGCGCCCATGGATGTGACGTGAAAGCAATGTCAGGGATGCCAGTAGACAAAACTAAAGTCTCTACATCATTGAAAAAGAATGCAGCTATGATCTGTCCGTACCCTGTTAGGATGACTTTAACGTCAATTTCCATCAAGGGACCCTAGTAGGGACCCTAGTACCTACTAGGGTCCCTTGATGGAAATTGACGTTAAAGTCATCCTAACAGGGTACGGACAGGGGGTCTATTCTCGAGCGATATTCGTATACGAGTTCGATCTTCTATTTCACTTCAATTTACGTCACATACATAAGTGCATCTTTCTTTATTCGTATACGAATTGAATTCGAACGGTTCGAGAATAGAGCCCCAGATCCTCGTCTCCTCTCACTCTAAAGTGTTTGTGAAACAGTTATATAGTTCCATCCTTATTCAATTCTAGGGAAAAACACTAGATTTTTGACATTCTTTGTTTTTTAGGTTATATCGAGGTCACTGGCGTATCATACGTAATTTCCATATGGAATTCCCGATTCAAGTCCTCTAGATTTAGAGTTTACTACTCCAGCATAATTTTTGCGAGGTAGGGAACATAGGTATAAATTGTACTGAAAGCTTAATATATTTCACTAAGAGAGACTGTTCTTAGACTGTGTATACTAGAGTTGACTGAATTGACTGAATGAATTCTGATTTCAAGCTAAGCAGAAGTTTATCTATCAGCTTAATGAGCTGAGCCTTATGATTGAGGAATGATGGAAACCGAAACTACTGTACTTATTCATGTGTGCTAATAAATATATTTTTGGAAATCCAGCTCGGTGAAGAATTTATAGAGTGACTAATATCACGTATATCATGTATAAAACTTTGTCTAGGACGAGAAGTATAGGCTGACAAAAAGTAATACGTAAAATATGCAGGAAAATAAAGAATAGTTATGCCCAGTCAACACACGGACATTCGATGGACATCCATTGGACGTCCATTTAGGATATTTGGGATATCCAGAGAATATCCAGTGATATCCGATGTATATCTTATGGACGTCCAATGGACGTGCCGAGTGGAAGGAGTTGGACTTCTATAGGATATCCTTCAGGGACATCCATAAGACATTTTTCAGGGATATCCATAAGATATTGTTCACAAATATCCATAAGACATTTTTCAGGGATATCCATAAGATATTGTTCACAAATATCCATGAGATATTTTTCAGGGATATTTACTAAATATCCTTAACAATATAGAACACCATGTATATTATTCCATAATGAATTAGGAACTATTATAACGAATTCAACGGTACCGGATTGGATAGGGTTATTTCAAACGATTACGAAGATATTTGCATTCGAAGTTTTCATATGCTCATTGAGGATATGGAAATGTGAATATCTTCCTAATCGTTTGTAGAAATCCTATCAAACACAGTATCGTTGAATTCGTTATGATAATCCTTAACCGATTATGGAATAAAATACAGGGTGTCCCGTTTGAAAATGCCATCCTCGGTTAAAGTGCCAGTTATGAAGCAAACATGTAGGTACATACAACACAAATAAATAGTTGATCTTTGTGACATTTATTTGAAAAGTACAACTACCAAGGACAGGTTTGACATTTCCAGAAAAGAAGTTGCTCGTCCACCCTGTTTGTGATAGGAAAATTGAGAATATTCATTATGTTTCATATAACTGGTCTCTTCATTTTTTTCTTAAAACAGGGCATCTCATCTATAGGAATACTGATTATATAAGTCCCTCTGTTGATTGCTTTTTGTGTCAACAAACATATTTATATCTCTGGAAGATCCCACATTCTTCCTGAAAACAATGATATAGAGAGTTGAGTTTCAGGAGTTTACCAATATCATTATTAGGGAGAGTTCTTCTTACCTGACACACACAGTGGACTGTAAACATAATGAGGCATAATACTTATTACTTATACTTCAATGCAATCATTTGCATCCATTTGACCAGCCAAAACCAGGTGGCCCGCATTTATGAGCTCAGCTTCATTTTGGAGACACTGAATCACTGAAAAAGGATAGACAGATTGAAATGCACAGGCTAAATGGCCAAATCATAAGAATTCTTGTTCAATAATGATAAAAACTTACAGCTTATTATATGTTGGTATTATAGGTTTTAGGTTCAACATTCCAACTAGAGGTAGGTAGGTGTTCTACTGTTAAACATCAGAGATATTTTTGTCCTCAATCAAAACACAATGAACCACTGGAAAACACGGATTTAAAAAATACACAAATATCAAAGCTGAGAATGATTGAGAACTCAAAACGAAATTAACATAAACACACCTCTCAATAAACACCATCACCAAAACCAAACAATGTAAAATATAAACAATCAAATAGTACTGGCTTTCGCCGTTCTGGCTCTGGCGCTACGATCTCTCTTTCGTTTGACATGGCGGTATTTTCAAATCATCCCACCCGATTTATAAAATAACTTACTCTGAACAATCTATATAACCTCTTTGTATTACGGTGAAGTTATAAAAATTATGAAATTGAAAATATTCTATTAGCCTGAATCAATATGATCATACCTATATTTCTTATTAAAAGTTTAACGCATATTATGAGAATAGAACCATAACTAGGTGTGGAATTCAGGAATTCTGAGAGTGGAGAACGTTCAGAAATGACACACTAAAAGTCATTATGATTAATACTTATTATGATATACCAAATATCATTATTGCTTATTTGTATTATTATTACGATGTCTTTAAGACGTATTCAGGACGTGAGAATCAGATATCTTTGAAACGTCTGAATGATGACATCTTGTAGACGTCTTATTCAGGGAGTAAGACGTACAGACTAAGATAGGATATAATTCAGACATCTTAAAGACGTCTTGTGCTATCTGGGTAAGATATCTTCTGATGGATATCCGCTATAAATCCATGGATGAATAACTCATGGATGTCCATCTGAAGACCACAAAAAAGTAAATATTATATGAGAGCTATTTTCGAGTGATTGTATATTTTTGTACGAAAACATTGAACAACAGAGAAAAATTCCAAACTGTGGTGTTTTTATTTATATGAATTCATATTTGCATCGGATATCTTAATTGTGGCTATAAACATATTATACCTACATAACAATAGTTATATGATGGAAAACTACCTTTGAATTTCTAATAAACATGTGATTTGCATGTGATATTTGTGATGATTCGTATTGTTTTGAACCATTCTCAATTAACAATTTTTGTTCGCTAAACGAACATCTTATGGACGTCCATAGGTGATCCGCATCAGAATATCCATTTGATATCCTCTGACGGATATCCTATGGATATCCATTTCATGTCCCAGGATATC